TCCATTCAGTATGCTTGGAGTTAAAATCTCCAAACATAATGACTGAATTGCCTAAAGATAAAATGGCCTCAAAATCTTTTTTGAGGGGATAGGTTCCTGAAGGGATGTAACAGGAGGCTATGAGGATGGACTGATGTCCAGTCATAGCTAGCCTGCATACCGTGGCTTCCATGTTGGTAAGCTGCGGAGTAGAAATGGGCGAGCAATGAAGTGTCTTCTTGTAATAGATGGCCGTTCCGCCGCCTCGGCGGTCGGGTCTGTCGTTACGAAGAAGAGAGAAGTTTTTAATAGAAAGGCCTCTAGTGTCCTTAGCTTTGAGATTAGTTTCCTGTAGGAGGAGGAAATCGACTTCACGATTCCGAAGAAAGAGCTTGAGCTCTGGGAGGTTATTTCGCAAGCCGCGAATATTAAATAATAAAATATAGCGAATATAAAAAACCCTTAGGTTTGATACGACCGTGAGATCTTGGTAGGTTAATTCGCTCAGTCATTGAAGTTAATTTAATTAAGTTAACTTAACTTACAACGCTAACAGAAGGTTATTGTGCCCTGCAAGAACGAGGAGACGTTCTTGGGGGGACTTGGCCGCGCGCAGTTTGCGTGATACTACTGTTATTTCCCTAACATCGATATTCCTAATAGCGGAATATAGCGTGTTGTAGTCGTCGATTGTGGGCTCTGCTTCATGAGCGTACGAGGTTGTCCGCGGTGGGTCTGCCTTTTTGGGCCCCCAGGGAAAGACTGGAGGCTGCATTGGCTTGGAGAAACCCGGAGGGGGCCGAATTATGCCCTGAGGGGGCCTAGGAGGACCCTGAGAGGGTCGAGAGAAGCCCTGGGTGGGCTGAGAGAGGCCCTGACGGGGCCGTTGTTGGAGGGCCGGGAATGAGCGGTCATTCATCGGCGGTGGAGCTTGCCTACTGGGGCGAGGTTAAGGTGCGCGTGGGCAACCCTTGTAATTAGCCGGGTGGCCTGTTTGGTTGCACAGGACACAGGCGGGCGGGGATTCGGCGTCTTTGGGCCGGGGACACTCTTTCGTGTTATGTGGTTCGAGGCACTTAACGCACCTGGGTGGGGCGGAGCAGTTGGCCGCCACGTGACCATAAAGTTGGCAGCGGTGGCACTGCGCCGGGAAACCGGGCCTATGTGGGGGCTCTACCTTCACCCTCGACAGGCCACACACTGTGCGCACCTGCCGGAAGATGGCTTTAGCCTCCGGCACGTTCGATAGGATTACTAGGGCAAGGTTGTATCTCTTGCCCGTTCTGTTGTGCATTTTGTTCACTGCCTCTACTGGGAAACCTTGGGACTTAAGGTCCTCAAGGATGTCCTCGTTAGAGAACTCAAATGGGACGCCTCGGATGACGGCCCTGACTTTACGCTCTTCAGGGAGAGCGTACGTGTGGTAGGAGATTCGTTCGGCTGTGAATAGCCGGGTGATCTGACGGAAGTCCTCGATCGAGCTTGGGATGATTTTGATCGCCTCCCCGAGGTTGACGGCATGATCATACTTGATACCTGCGTCGTAGCAGGTTTTGGACAGCTGGGTGAATTTTGCCTTGTCTCTTAGGAAGACAGGGGGGCGGGACTTGCTTCTTAGCAAGGACTGGAGCACAACGGGAGGCTGGTTTGGTCAGTGTGGGGATGTCTAGTGACATCAGTGGGACGGCGGCAGCGCCGGGGGCTGCGGAGGTTGTGGGAGCGGCAGGGGCCACTAAAATAGGGGGGAGTGCGTTTTATCGCGGCGCGCTTACCGTTGCGCTTGGAGGTGACGGTGGTGAAAGTGGACTCCCCCGGTTCCGTCGGAGTCAGAGGACTCCGATGAGCCGGAGCCTGAGGTAGTGGCGGGCCTCTTCCGGGAGGTCGGCGCCGAGGACTCGGAGCATGCGTACTCCATTTCTAAGGGGGCAGATTCGAGGGGGGGCAAAGGAGTTCCTCGTTTCGAGGTAAGACGCGATTACCGGCGGCGGTAGGTGTGCCTGAGGGGCAGGGAGGGGAGCCTGGGCGGCGATGGTGGCGATGGCGGCGAGGACCGTCTCATTGCCATTTAATCCGAATTGGTTAATGAGGGTGGCGAGGGACTCAGTGAAGCTGGGTGTGGCCATTTTGGGTCAGTAAGCAAACTAAGCTATGTAACGATAAAGATGAGGACGGGTCCCTGTTCTCTGTAGAACAGGGACTAGAACGCGAGACGTACTACGACACACTATACACGTAATAATAATGCAAGAACACAAGAAAAATGACAGTACACAAAAAAAAATTGAAAAATGATAAATAATAAATGAAAATGAAATGACAAGTGAAAATGAAAAATGAAAATGAAAAGCGGAAGTCAGTCAGACCTCCCTGCACGAAGACAGGGGGGCAAGAGCTGTAGCGAGAAAGTGACTCACCGGCAGCCTCGACGCTGTTCCGCGTGAGCAGGATAGCGGAGGCGCGTGAGAGCGAGACAGCACTACCGTACTGTACGGGAGCGCGGACCACCAGGAAGCGACCGTCCAAGAGCGGTGCCGCCGGCGGACTGAGCACTGCGTCGGCGCTGTACAGCGCGAGCGGGACAGCGAGGGCGCGAGAGCGGGAGAGCACTACCGTACAGGAACGAAAGCGCGGACTACCTGGATGCGACCGCTCGGAAGCGATGCCACAGGCGGAATGTGCTGCCCGATGTTCCAAAAGTGGGGGGTATTTATACCCTAGTAGCGATGGCTCATTAAACGATTGTTGTTGTTGATGTTGTTGTTGTTGACTACACCATCGTAGCATTTCTTATATCGTTTTTACTAATAGTTCACTTGTGTATGTTTGCGAATCAATAGTAGAATTAATTTCTGCTTACATTATATACATCAAACCGTAACTCTCTTACATACAACAAGTCATTAAATATGTTATTTATACGATAATAAAAGTGTTGTACTATTTCAAGATGAGGTATAAAATAAAAGGGTTGATTCCAACTATTTCACTGTCTACAATACTATTTCGAGTCCAGGTAGAATACAAAAGGGTAGATTAAAACTATTACACTTTGGTTCACTTTACAATTTAAACTTATACACAATTCAACTTAACTTCACGTCTTACTGCGACGACTTGAGTTGAGCTAATGCCCCTCTCCATTTACTAATCAACCTTTCGTACTCGTTAGCAGGGTGGGGCGGCATCATTTCCGCCCCAATCTTTTACAGAAATCAAAATCAAAACATTATTCTTCCGGTTTAATTATATTACTCTATCTATTATCCGTAATCATTAATGTTAACAACTAATAGTTATTATAATACAAAGTTAATTCGAGTAATTCGGTTATAAACAATAATATAATAGTTATTAATCTAACATTAATCTAACAGTAATAGTTACGCAATAATAGTAACCTAACACAAGGCTTTAATTTTCCGGCGGTCAAGTTTTCCCCAAACAAAGGTAGTGGCTAGTTTACATGATCTTTTATAAGAGAGGGGCAAATGAGCATGTCACTCACCTGGTGGTAAGTGATTACCGCCGCCCATGAACAACTGCATCACCAGTGGAATTGCAGATGCGTTGCCGGCCTTTTAAAAAGGATTAGACTCTTTTCTTGTAGGTGCCTAAGTCGTATCGGTCCTGAAGTCCTGTAGTCCTGAGTTCTGGTAGTTGATTCCACATGAAAGTTATGCGAGGAAGGTAAATTCTTTTAAATCGCACAGTGGTTGACCACCAGTTATCTAGATGGTATGAATGGTATCGCGAGTTTTGTTGCGATTTGCGATGGTGAAATTGCGCGGTTGAAATAAGTTCGAATAATTCCACAGAGTACTCCCCGTGGTAAATGTGCCCGAAGTCAAGTCGACCGGAAAGAGCTCTGTCGGTGAAAATTCGAACGGCTTTGTGGTGAATGCGATCAAATTAAAGCAGCTGGTACTGAGGAGTCCCAGCCCAGATGGCAGTAATGTCACTGTACAGTAGCCTAGTCAAGCACTGACATGCTACTGGTTTTTGGGGACTCTAAATTTAATTTTCCCCAGTGCTAATTTCGTTCTTGTCAGTCAGTCCGTTGACGAAACACTCATTCTATTTTCAGACCTAGTAGCTTTCACAATCATGCCATTGAAGTCAGCCCAGTGCTACCAGTATGGAGTTGTTGCATCTGGACAGTCGTTGTCAATTTGTTGTTGAGTGTTCATGTAATGCTTCACGTATGGATAACATGAATGATGTTAGAATATTATGAGTTCTTCTTGTAAAAATAAACAAATGAACACGCCAAAATCTTAAATGATTTTTCATAAATAATTTCAATTTACGTTTCTGCACTAAACTCATTATCACTGTAATTTACAATAAAGAAAATCAGAGCTTTTTATAATTATAATAATAAACTTTATAAGATTAATTTCATTACTTTCATTTACAAAAGCTTTTTTACAATATGTTATTTATAATAAGATATTTACAAATTTTACTTTTGGCGGAACTCAACTTTCACCAAAAGTAGTATTGGCGGATTGTAAATCTAGTAATACCGTTTAAATAATAATTTAAGGTAGATTTTGTTTCGTAAAGTGGCTCGACTGTGTGTATTATGTGTCTGCGCGTGTGAACTATTGGTGGAAACTATGTAATATGACAAGAACTTCGAAGATGATATTGTTGATCTTAAGCTTTTCATTTCATCGACTCAGAACTCAGAAGCCCTAAGATACAAAGTTAAGCTGTCATCAGCATATAGTAAAGAATTTACGAAATACATCAAAGAAACAGGGCTGTATAAGTCTTGACCTTCGTTATGACAACAATATAATTTTATCTATGCCTCAAACTTTCTATTTCTAAACGTCAGTTGTAAAGACCTCAAAACTTTTTTGTGAACTTTTAAAATCTAGTTTTTCTATAATAGTTTCTTTTAAATTGAGAATGCATATAAATGAATCTCGTTCAACACTGCATTAAGTATTTTTTCCCACATTGATCTTTTAAATTGTGTCGTTTTTTATTGTTCAGATAACTGGTTATTTAAAATGGTCCCTCAACAACAACGCAGAAGACGACGTCGAGCGGCTTTAGCGCGTAATGCTGAACGCCGAGTTGTGGTAGTACGCGGCGCTGGAGGTTTTGGTTTTACAATTGCGGGACAAAGACCTTGCATAGTATCTGCTGTAGCAGCCGGTGGACCCGCCGAAAGGGCAGGTCTTCGAGCCGGTGATGCTTTACTTGCAGTTGATGGAACGAGCGTAGCTCGAGCTCCTCATGCATCTGTGGCTAGAATGGTCGCTGCGGCGCCTGGTCCTATATCATTAAGTGTGGCTTTAAGAGAATCTCCACCAACTGATACGGAGGATACAGAGCCCGAAGAAAGGGCAAGAACTAGGAGGAGATATCCTCCGCCACGTAGAAGGCCTCAGCAAGCGATGGTGCATCATCCAGGCAAGTATTATACTAATGTTTTATTAATGTATCTGTAATTAGAAGGTGAAAGAATAGAATAATTTGTGACGAGATTTAATAATGTTTTCTTAATAGTAGTAAAGCAAAATATATACACATGACATCATTAAAATCTTATTGTTTTTGTAATTATACATTTAGGGTGAGAGGTATTCATTTGAATTTCTGTTTCTCTTTTTATTTATCATTTTTTTATTTCTGTTACCCTTACTGATTATTTCTTTGAAAATAAATAATATAAATTTTGTGAATACTGTTCATATATTTATTTTAGTTTTTTAAAATAACAAGATTTATGTATGAGATTGAAAAAGAAAAAGCTTCAGGAGTCATTTTTGGTGGTTTTTATATCTATGTTTATATTTTCAATTTGTTTCCACCAAACGAATTAACATTATAATAATCATGGTTAACAATTTTTACAGGTGCCTAAGCCTAAGGACTGCTATTTCGGTATGTGCAAATCTTAGTAGAATATTTGCACTGTGTGTTCTTGGCTTTGCACTTTCACTCCATTTGTAATGTCCATGTTGTGTATTTTTTTATTGGACAAGATTATGTAATAAGTAATGTTACATAAAATATAGTCAGTCAACATGTATTAAGGCATTCATCTGTTTTGTACATCTCATCAGATCATCACTTTAACTCAGGTGTTCTAGATTTTATATGTTGGTTTGAGCCTAACACTAGAAAACCTCTCTGTGGTTATCAGTTCTATAAAAAGTACTTGTATCTAACTCATTGCCATTTCAGTTAAAAGATCAGTATCCTTTAGACTTTCAGTTATTCTAGTTTTTTCATGGACATTATCCATGTGTAATCCTCAAGGATCAATAAGTAATGACTCTCAATTAGTTACTATTACTGTAATATATTAAATATATAAAAATTAATGTTTGTTTGTTCATACCATTCATCAGATTGCGTTAAAATTTTGTCAATGCTTGCAATTGCAAATGCTTGCAATTTTGCGATGGCATAGTACAATTAACTTACGGTTGATGGCGTGCATATTGTACCCACAAATTCATTTGAAATCTATATATCATCCAATTTCAATGAATGTATCATTCCTAATTAAACAATATCTCTTCCAAATTTAAAATATTACCACAATTATTTCTTCAGTGGTAGCTTCACTCCTGGTACCAGCTAGTATTTTATATATTAGTAAATGCATGTGTTATAATGTATGAGTTTTTAATAACAATTTTAATACTGTGGGTAAAAAATAGTAAGACTGTTCATAATTTTAAAATTCTTTATTTATTCTGCCAAATCTATTTCGTCCCCTTCAAAGTAATCCCCCCAGCCGCAAGACACTTATGCCAACGTTTTTTCCAATCCTCGTAACAGTTGTTAAAGTCGATTTCCAGAATAGCCTTCAATGCGCATAGCAATTCACATTTAATATCTTCAATTGACTTAAAACGGTATCTCCGGAGCGGTCGCTTGAGTTTGCTGAAAAGCCAGAAGTCGCACGGAGTTAAATCAGGTGAATACGGTGATTGTGGAATGATATTGGTTGAAATTTTGGTGAAAACTCACGAAGAATCTATGCTGAATGCGACAGTGCCTTATCGTGGTGCAAAAACCAAGAGTTGTCGGCCCATAGTGCGGCCTCTTTTTACGAATAGCTTCGTGCAAATGATGCATAACACTCAAATAGTATTCCTTGTTGACATTTTAGACGTTGGAAGGAATTCAGAGTGTACCACACCTCGATGATCGAAGGAAACTGTCAACATGACCTTGATTTTTGACTTGCTTTGACGTGGTTTTTTCGGCTCCGGCTCACCTTTGGCACCATATTCGGCCGATTGATCGTCTGTTTCCGGGTCGTAAGCGTAGATCCAAAACTCTTCGCCAGTTATAATATGTTTCATGACATCCCGGTGGTCGGAAAGCATTGTTTTACAGACGTAAACGCGACGCTGTTTTTCAATAAAGTTGAGTGATTTTGGAACCAGTAGTGCATTCACTTTTCTTAGACCCAAATAATCTTTTAAAATGGTTTTCACTGATCCTTCTGATATTCCAACGATATCAGTAAGGTCTCTGACTGTTAATCGTCGATTCTCGAGAACCAATTCCTTGATTTTATTGACATGTTGATCATCAGTTGATCTTGATGGCCGTCCTGGATGTGGTTCGTCGTCAACGCATTCTCGACCCTCTTTTAATAATTTGTACCAATCAAAAACACTTGCTCGCGATATACAATTATCACCGAAGGCCCTATGCAACATTCTGAACGTTTTGGCACCAGAAATTTGATTGCGCACACAAAATTTAATGAAACTTCTTTGTTGAATAATTTCACTCATAGTAAAAATTGCCGAATGCACTTTTTGTACTTCAGAAAGACAAGCGTATACTAAACACTAATCATTACTTTGATGTGATATTTGGCACAGATATCACTGACAGTCATACCAACGTAGAAAAAAAATTCGACGAATGGATTTCCGCGCGAAGTTTAAATTAAAAAGTCTTACTATATTTTGCCCGTGGTAGTATATATAAAGTGGATTATATTCTTTGTAAAGAAAAGTAATGAATAATATTATTAGTATGTATGTGCTGATTAAATAATAACACATACCTACTAACAGTTTAAACTAATATATGGGAAATTATTAGTTATTTGTACAACTCACTGCAGTGTGCATGAACCACCAGCACCATTATTCACTTCTCATAGGCACTGTGTTGCAAGTCAAATTTATTACTCACCTATTGCTTTAAATTTTTAACAATTTCATAGGAAGTTATGAATAGGGCTGTATGTTTTTGATTATGTTTAAGAAAGAAAATTATATGGATTATATATATGAAAATAATATTAATAAAATTGAAAATATCAGCTTAATGCATGTGTTTCATATGCTGAATGTAGAGAACCAGAGACCCTTTTTACTCAAACCAAGGCCTTCACTCTTAATGCTCAGGGGTAACAGCGTATTTTGATTCTTAATTCAGGATGAATGTTGATGTATATGAACCGCAGCGTTTACTTACCGTCAAGTGAACTGTGCACCCTTATTTTTCTTAACACAAAGTTGCTGTACGCTCTTGCTGCAAAGTTGATGCAGTTGACACCTTACGCAAAAATTCATGAGACCATAGTGCATACATACATACTTATTTTATTTTTACACTGGCATAAAATGAAAACAGACTGAACAAACAAAAAAAGTGACAATATAAATTTCCTAATAAACAATAAAACTGCTGGACCTATTTTGGTCAAAACTTAATTAGGTTCTAATTACATCACTGTGCATGGAATTCAACCAGTCTGTGTAAGGTGAAAATCATATGAAACCTCGCACATTGCAGCTGCACTGTACCCACCATATTTTATAAAATGCGGTAGTTATTCGAATATTGAAAGAGGCATGCTGATGACTTCATATAATGCAGCGCATTTGGTGCATGCTGATACTCAGTGTAGTCTAATATTGCCAACTTAGTGGATTTTCCACTAAAACTGGTGGTTTCGTCTTTCGTTTCGAAATATATATGAGTCGTCAGACAAGATTTGTGTAAAAAATGAATTTTACATTTTATTATTTTTACTATACAAACAAAACACAAATATATTACATAAAATATACATAAATTATTTTTATTAAAAAACAAAAAACAAAGCACAAAAAAGTATATATGGCGGACTTAATGCCATAGGGCATTCTCTCTCAGTCAACCATTAGGCTAAACAGAGATATACATTATGGAGGCGGTACAACAATAATCAAATAGAGGGGATAGAAAAAAATATATATAATACAATATATATATACATACATACACTATATACAATGTGTCCCAAAATTCAACGATAACGCCCCGCCATAAAATATTTTTTTTTCAGATGAACCGTTTAATACACTACCTCATTTTTTTAATATTTGTTTCTTTTTTTTTTATAGGCAACCTGAGTAGCACTGCTATCTACCACAATTCTTAAAAAATCTAGAATAACTCTTATTTTATCACGAAAATTAATGAAACTTTTTTAATCCCTAAATTTTTTGAAGACTTTTAACCAAATTTAACTTGTCGTGGTGTAAAAAAAAAGTATGAACACTAGTATGGCAAGTTTTTTAAAAATTGACGCAACTAACCAACATTCCAAAATGGTATAATACTTTATTTATTTACACTTTATTGTACTAAAGGTACAAACGGCGGACTTAATGCCATATGGCATTTTCTACCAGCCAACCGGATAGTTAGTGGGAGATGCATGTACTGCAGTGGGCTAGAATGAAACCTAAAATTGATAAATTTCACATACACATACACCTTCACCCCCCCTCCACACACACACACCACACACATACATACTCATAGCTCAAACTTAATTAAATATATATAAGGATCTAATAGATTAAATGTTATAGATTATTTATATATTTTTGTGTCAGATGAACCCAAATAATGTTCCTTTACCTTTGTTTTAAAAATCCATTTGTTGGGGGATTTTCTTATTGCTAGGGGAAGCGCATTCCAGAGTCTTACAGCTGTAACAGCGAAAGAGTTTGAGAGGAAACCAGTACGGTGAGAGGGAGTATAGAGCACGAGATTGTTACGAGAGTGAATATTACATTTCAAATACTCTGGGGCCAATGGATCGTTAAGAATAGTGAACAGAGTGCTAAGAATTCTAAGGCTCCTGTGTTGTGGGATATTTAACTATTTAAGTTGAGAGCTTATAGAAAGAGATGTGGTCATACTTTCGAAGACCGTAAATGAAACGGATACAGTTGTTGAGAAGCCGATCCAATTTGTTGACCAAGTATTTGTCTGCATCTAAGTAACACACATCAGCATAATCAAACATAGGAAGAATTAGCGATTGAATTAGAATTTTTTTCGTACAAGGCGGTAAGATATTTTTATATCTGTAATGTCTCAAAGTAGTACAAACTTTACGGCTAACTTCCTCAACATGACTGCGCCAAGTAAGT